CTTTTCTCTTCGCATCTACGGCGTTCTGTTCCACTTGGCGCCTCTCGACGAAGGACGTGGCTGCGATCTGTTCCACCTCGGAGACAGATCGTTCCTGCGCCATAGTTGCTTCACGGAGCTTCGCGCGAACCTGTTCCTCAAGCTTCGCTTCCCGGCCCTGCGCCCCGCGAAGGGCTTGCCAGGCCTGTTCTGCGATAGCCTGTTCTGTCCTCTTTTGCTCCTTGGCCTCTTTATCTGCCTTTAACGCAGCCTCATGGAGGGCGTCCTTCTGCCCCTTCTCCCTTTTAAAGATTGCATTGAAATCTTGTTCGGCTTGCTGCGCCATATGCTCGTTTTGCGCTCTCTGCCTAGCTTCCATGTCTGCCATCGTTGTGCGTGTGGCTGCTATTTCGGAAATGCGCTCTTGCTCAAATTGCTTTTGCCTCATTTCCTGTTGTAACTCCCACTCGCGGCGTCTGCGCGCATAGCAATTGCGTTGCCTTGGTGGCAGACATTCCTGGCAAAGATATCTCAAATTGCACGGGTGGCACTGGGCGGAACACCCCCGGCGCACAGGCTTCCGGCATGGCCGATCACCAGCCGCTCTGCCTGGGCACCGACTCTCGGGGCCTGGCTCGAGGGCCGGTCCGCGGTTCGTGCGTGACACCCTTATCATGCATTGTGATGTTGACGATCAGGATAGAGAGGGCCCGTGGTAGGATCCCCGTAAATTGCGACTGCGACCGCCCTCTCCCGATCTTGACCTCCGGGATATTGAACCCGGCGACTCGAATAGTTGCCTTCCACGGGGTCTAAGATCAGGGGTTGGCTCGGGGCCCTCTTGACCACTCGGGCCGCCAGGCTCGGTCTTAGGGCGCTTTTCGCACGGGGATTGTTTTACGTCCACTGGGCCATCCCTTGGGGTTTCCCCGCGTCGAGTCTCGATCCCAGACCCCCCGGATGAGGCCGCCGTGTCCTTCTGGCGTTCGACACTGTCTCGGGGGCTTTGTGTCTTCCCCCTGTTCCGGACATAGTCCGCGCCTCGCTTTTTCGGGGTTCGATCGGGGGCCGACCCGTAACTGTTTTCCGACGAGCTCGATATGGGCATTGCCTTCGCCGGCGCAGCAATGTGCTCGGTCTCGTCGTCCTCGTCAGATGAGCTGGAGTTCGCGACGTAGGCCTGTTCGACATCGCCTGACAGCGGGTTGGGCGTGCAGGGCTTCCCCCCGTGCCAATCGTCGTCCTCATCTAGGTCCTTCTCTGGAATTGGGGTATCTTGTCGCCCGCGGTTCACTGGGGCATCGTCGTGTCCCGCTGTCTCGCCTGCTGGGGTCGGTGTCCGTATAGTAGCGGAAGGGGTTCTTCTTCATCAGCTTCGTGATGGCCTTGTCGTCCTCCTCTGCAGGTGGCAGTGGTCTTTCATGTGAGTAGATTTTCTGCAACATTGTTGCTTTTGTCTCTCGGATGCGTGGTGAGGTCGACTTCGTTGGTCCGTCGACTCGTTCCTTATGCATTCCCACGTCTTTGGGGCTGGTTCCACCTCCCGCGTTCTTCTCCACATTCACGGAGGCGTTCGTACTTGCCCCAGCTTTATCGGCGTGGTCGACAGCCCATAACCCAGAGCTTTCGGCTGATAACCCATCTTTACCCAACTTAGGCCCAACCAGGCCAACATCGTCAAGTAAGGTAGTCCTCACTGTTGGGGCCCATGCTAGCGGGTCTACGGACATCGCGGGCTGTAAGGAAATATGGAATCCCGTTAAACGTAGGGCAAGGAAAGTGTGATAGTATGCGCGGGGCGGGCGCGGGCCTGTTTACCCTCCGAACCACAATAGCTGCAGACGGCCAACTATGCGTCTGCGTGTGTGGTTATATGTACATCGACGGCGGCAGGGAGCGTTTGGTAACGACTTTTGGATGATGATGCCGAGCCTCATCACCACCACCTCACCATCAACTTCGTGGTCATCGTTAACATCATCATCATCATCATCATCACATACGCAACCCATGACCAACAACGGCATCACCATCGTCGTCGTCACCATCATCCGTGTTATCACTTCACAATGCGGACACCATCAAGCGTACTTCGACTGTAAACCACACATGGTAATATATGTAGTTTCTCCCTCGCCCTTTCGTCTTCGCCCTGGCGGAGGCTCTCCACCGTTTTCTGCTTTGCCTCCTGCTCCTCCTCGTCCTCCTTTTTCCCCCTCCTCGTCCTTCTCGTCGTTCTCGTTGCAATGACTCTCGTCATCTTTCATGCCCCCCTCTTCCTCCCCACCTCTTTTCCGCATCCATCTGTCTGTCTCTCTCTTTCCCTTCCTTTCTCTTTGTCACATTTATTTATTTTGTTTGTTCGTTGTGTGTGTGTGTCTCTCTCTCTATATATATATACACAAATACATGTATATCTCTATTGTTTCCTTTCTCTTTATCTTTATGCACCTCTCTCTTTGTCTCTCTCTCCCTCTCTCTCTCTCTCTTTCTCTCCCGCTCTCTCTCTCTCTCTCTCTCTCTTTCTCTCTCTCTCTCTCTCTCTCTATCCCTCTTCCCCCCATTTTTTGTTTCTCTCTCTCTCTCTCGCTTTCTCCTTATCTCCACCCCGCTCGTTCTCTCCCCGCACACCTATGCTTCCTCCTGGCCGGGGCACGCAAGCCGAATTTCGCTGGCGCCGTCGCCGCCGCGGGAAGGAACGGGCGCGCTTTCCGGCCAGATCGCGAAGCCGTCGGGGCAACCCTGCGGGCCGAGGTGCGCCCGAGGGCCGCCGGGGCGCGGGAACGAGCCGTTGGGGCAAGCCCGCGGGCCTCGAGCAAACCGCGGCCGCGCTCGTGCGGGTGGCAGCGCGGAGCCCAGCTCTGCCGCGAGCTGCTCCGCCTTGGCCTGGAGTTCCCTGCTGTTCTGTCGAACTCCCTGAACGCCTTCCGCGGGGGCGCCCGTGGCCCTCGCTCGAAGAGCTCTCGCGTGGGCGGCCGCAGGATCAGCATTTTCTGCATGCGCGTGGGCCGGGAGAACATGACGTAGAGGTGCAGCAAACACTGCTCGTCCGACATGCCCATGCGGCCAACATCCCTCATCCGTGGCGCAGACGATGGTGACGCCCTTGCGCAACGCATCGCCCTACGGCACCGTGGAAGTCAGGTAAGGCGCGTGTGGCAGGGTAAATCCACAGCGGCGCGCGGCGTGCGGCCCCGAGCTCTGCCACGTGAGCTTTTGTTCGCTGGGCCGCAACATGAGCAAGCTCCTCGCCAGAGCCTCGGCCTCGCCGCCGTCGCCACCGCCTTCGTCGCCCTGTAGCAGCTCTGTGACCTCCTGGTCAATCGGAAATTCCTTGAACCCGCCACCGGGCAACTTTTCCCGTAGCGCCCGATTAGGGTGCTCAAGATGTCTGATGACCCGCTTCGGATCCTGCCTCGGATTCGAACATGATCAACTGCGGGCCTCAAGAAAAGGGGGTTCCCGCTTCAGATTTCCTCCACACTGAACCCTGAAATGCGGGCCCCATCGGGAGCGGGCTACCGCTTTAGACTTCCTCCAGATCCAGACCTGAGAAACGAAAAGTGACGACGGCTGCAAAATTCAGATGGCCCCGCTCGGATTCGAACGCCAAATGCGGGCCCCATGGGGTGGGGGCTCCCGTTCGATGCTTCGTCGCCAAGTACTCGCGTCTGTGTCCCTGGGGCGCTCAAGTGCAACGCCTGCCAGAGTCCGCCGATGACCCACCTCGGTTTCGAACACGAAGCGCGGGCCTCATAAGGAAAGTTCCTGGTCGAGTCTTTCCTCGCCATTCGCTTACAGACGAGGCCACCGCTCCGGACATCCTCACGTTCTGCCAAATTGGGGTGCTCAAGTGCTACGCCTGGTAAAGTATTCGGATGACCAGGCTCAGATCCGAACAGTAAATGCAGGCCACATAGAAGAAGGCTCCCACTCGAGTTTTCCTCACCATTCGCTCGCTGACGAGGTCACCGCTCTGGACATATTCACGGGGTGCCCCCATGGGGCGCTCAAGTGTATGCCTGGTGGAGTATGCCGATGACCCGCTCGGATTAATGATATGACCTGCGGGCTCCGTAAGGAGGGGGCTCCCGCTCGACAATTCCTCTCTATTCACTTACAGACGAGGCCCTCGCTTGAGACATACTCACGAATTGCCCTCTTGGGGAGCTGCAGTGCTATGCCTGGTATAGTATACCGATGACCCGCTCGGATTAATAACCTGACCTGCGGGCCCCATAGGGAGGGGGCTCCGCTTGATACTTCCTCTCTACTTACTCACACACGACGCGGCACACGCTCGAGTGCCCATCAAAATGATCGTGTGAGTGTGTGTGTGAGAGAGAGATGAATGGCGACTGTGAAAACAATGTGGTGATGATGGATGATGATGGTGCGGTGATGATAGCGATGATGGCGATGATTACTGTGCGAACATGGTGTGGTGATAATGTGTGTGAGAAGATTGTGTGTGATGATGATGATGAAGATGCTGGTGGTGATGGTGATGGTGACGGCAGTGGTGGTGATGATGATGCTGCTGGTTAGGATGAGTGTGTGAATGAGTGTGGATGATGCTGAACATGTTGAAGATGATGATGATGATGATGATGATGATGATGATGATGATGATGACTATGCAGGTGCTGATGATAACATGGTGTTGAAGATGAAGATGATGATGAGGATGATGTTGTGGATGATGATGATGAGCAAGAATGCTGGGGAGGAGAGGAGATCCTAAGCGGAGGGTGGGCAGAGAAAACAATAACCCTATTTTGGATGGGGGGATCAGTACCATCACCGTCACCATCATCATCCACATCACCATCATCAACATCACCAAGATCACAATCAACGTCAACGACAACGCCACCGTCATCTAGTGATCCTCCTTGTAGTGCCTGTCCGTTTCATCATCTGCAACATGCACAATGGTCCAACCATCGACATCATGCACCCACGCCTGCGCCTCCTCCTCATGATCCATGATTATCCTCCTTGGCTCTAGGTCCAGGCACGCGTTCTTGTTACGGCCGATGTAGCCGCGGCGGAGAACCTGGAACTTTCGCGCCGCGCTCCAAGAAGAGAGGGCACCGGAGCTTCCTGAGACAGGAAAGGATGCAAGTTGGTCATGGACCCACAAGTAGGAAGAGGGCCAGGTCAGAGAGCGACCGCCCCGACGACTTCAAGGGATGGATTGGGACAGGTCCGAGAGATGCGCGTGGGATGGAATGGGATGTGCGTGGAAACTGCTGCATGATTTCGCGACGCTGCTCGCATATGCGCCTCCTCTCCACCCAGACGCCGCCTGCTACCCGTACGCTTCCCTACCCCTACCCCCCTGCCCCATTCCCATCCCTCCCCCTCGTCATCCTCACGTTGCTTCAACAATATAATCCTCGCCGTCCGCGTGTTCCTGCGCATTGCTCCTCATCCCCCCCCTCCCTGCTCCGACCTCCTCGCTCCTCCACCTCATCCCCCTTCTCCTTCATGTTCCGCCCCTCGCCCCTTCTCAACATCCTCCCCCTCCTCCCTCACCCCTGATCCTCCTCATCCTCCTCGTATTCCTCCTCCTCCTCCTCCTCCCTCTCTTCCTCCTCCTTTCCCCTCCTCCTCCTCATCCTCCTCCTGCCCCCTCCTCATCATGATCCTCTTCGTCATATCCCTTTTCACCTGCCTTCATCACCACTCACACCATCACCATCTTCAGCGACGTCGTCGTTGTCACCGTCCCCATATCTTCGTCTGTATTGTCTAGATTCCCCCTTTCTCCGCCTCCTCCTCATCCTCATCCTCACCCTCACTCTCACTCTCACCCTCACCTTCACCCTCAATCTCACCCTAATACATTCCCTCAGCCTAACCCTCACCCTCACCACCCCCACCACACTCCTCCTCCTCCTCCTCCTCCTCCTCCTCCTCCTCCTCCTCCTCCTCCTCCTCCTCTTACTCATGATGATGATCATCATCATCATCATCATCATCATCATCATCATCATCATCATCATCATCATCATCATCATCATCATCATCGTCATCGTCATGATCATCATCATCATCATCAACATCAGCATCATCACCATCAACAACATCAGCATCAGCATCATAATCAACAACATCAACATCAACATCATGATCGTGATCATCATTATCGTCGTCATCATCATCATCATCAGCATCATCACCATCACCATCACTATCATACTTACTAGGAGCATCATCCACACCCTGCACTCCTCCTCCTCCTCCCCCTCCCCCTCCTCCACCATTTCTCCCTCCCTCATCTTCTGGGAATGGCCGTTGTTCGGCGCCTGGGCCCCGCCGCAACGGCTGCTCCTGGAGTGTCGGTGCTGAGCGCTCAAAGTTTGCACCGGCACCCGGCAAGGCGACGGACTTCCTCCCTCCTCATCCTCATCCTCCTTCACCTCCTCCTCCTCCTTCTCCTCCTCCTACTACTACTCTTCCTCCTTCCCACTCTCCGTCTCTGCCTCCCTCCACACCACCTCCCGATGGTCTTCTCATCTTCTCCCTCCACGTCCTCCGCCCACCACGGACGCAGCCGCCGGCCTCTATCTTCGTGAGGAGCGGCGAGTGTATGGGAATCGTAACTTCCACGCCCATCTGGAGAGGGGACATTGAGGCCGGGAGTGGTGGTGAGCGGGGTGTGTGGAGAAAAGGAGGAAGGGGAAGCTGGAAGCCGGATTGGCTTGCCTTTCAAGAGGCAGGTCCGAGAAGAGAAGAAACGGTGGTGAAACACAAGAGGAAGCAATGCGAATAGGCCAAATAGCCAGGACACGAACGGGGGAGGGGGGGACTGGGAAAGGGTCAGGGGAGGATGGCGAGAGGAATGGGGGATGTGGAGATTTAGTGCTTGCGCACTGGACGCCCGCAACGACAATCTGAAGGCTTTCAACGGAATCAAAAACGGAAGGCAGACTGCACATTTATTGAATCCAGGAGTTCTGCGGCAATGCCTCCGCTCCAGGCTAGTGCAACGCTGGCAATTAAAACGATGAAGCTGGAATATTCAAGTGCCCTCCGTATCAGAACGCCTAATTACGGGTGACGTGCACAGCGCTTTCAATAGGAAAAATAACACCCCCTTCATCCTGAAGGTCATGCGCCCACACACGCAGAAATACAGGAAAGGAACACATTGGGCACGTGGGCATAATGTGGGCACCCCTGACCACCACTTGGCAGAGTGATTGATCGTGTGCATGGCTAAGGTTCACCCAGACGAGGCATCTGGCACCCTCTTGATGGAGATGGCGGCCAAACCTGTGGAACCAACATCACTCCGAGATGATGCCACGACGTGTAATTGCTGAGAATTCCTGGCGTACCAGGCAAGTTCGTGCTGTGCTGCGTTTATGTTCTCTCTCTCTCTCTCTCTCTTTGTCTCCCTCGTTGTTTCCTGTATGTACTTATTTACTCTCTCTCTCTCTCGCTCTCTCTCCCTCTCTTTCGCTCCCTCTCTCTCTCTGTTGTAATGTTACGTCGTCTCCTGTTCTCTGCTGCTTGTTCCTCTCGTTTCCTCTTGCCGTCCTTCCGTCTCCGAAGCTCCTCCCCCCCTCCCGATCGCCGCGCCCGTCCGCAAGCACAGGGGCCTCTTTGCGGAGCGGCGCCCGCCTGTTCCGCGCTTCTGCCCACCATGGTGCGCACGGTCATCGTGCGGCCGTGGTAGATGCCCCTGACGCGAGGTGGGCGAGGAGGAGGAAATAGAAACGAAGAAAGCCATGAACGTAACTCTCGAACCTTCGGAAGTTAACGTTTATGAAGTCTTGTCTTCTTCGAGGGAGGGGGAAGACGGGGAGGAGGGGTGATGGGGAGGGACGGGGAGGGATGAGGGAGCAAGGAGGGCGAAGACGGAAGAGGTCCTGTCAGCGACGGGCGTCCCGGCGGGGTCGCGAGCTTGAATGGGGGAGGGGGAAGCAAGAGTTCCGTAAGGGAAAGCTGGCGCTACCCCCCCACGATCGATTCTTCAGGGGCAGGTGTGGTCGACCTCCTCCTCCTCCTCTCCTCCTCCTCCTCCTCCTCCTCCTCCTCCTCCTCCTCCTCCTCCTCCTCCTCCCGCGCCAGGGTCGGGACCTGTGTGCACCGTGCCTGTCCTGGCGGAACGGCCGGCGACACGCTGTGGACGGTGCCGGTGCACTGGGCCTCAGGGGACCCCTGGTTAGGTCGGGCACGTCCTCCTACAGGCAGAGTGTGGAAGAGAAGTAAAAAACAGTCAAACGTATCCAATAGTGGCCATAAACAATAGGAAAATCGTCCCAAAACTACTGTCTGACTATTCTTGAATATTCCTCCTGTAGAGAGACAGGCCCGACTTAAGGCCAGGGCGGGAAGGACTCTGGGGCATCTAACTTTGCGCCCCCGCGCTGCCCCCCCCCTGTGGATAAGGTCAGTCGTTCTGGCCCAGGTGGCGGCGCGCGAGGCGCGAGCATCTTCGCGCCGCGGCGGGGGACCTCCAGAGGACGTGGACCGAGCCGAGTCGACAGCGATCGCAAATGCGCCACTGCGCCCAGAGGGGTAACCCCGTGCCGCGCTGCACCCAGGCCTGCCTTTAGAGGACAGAGAACCTCCTCCTCCTCCTCCTCCATACACCGCTTCTGGCCAGGCCCAGCCTCGAACTGATCCCTATCCCTCAGATGGGCGAGCAAAACGCGAGGCCAATCTTGGGGATGTGCCCTCAGAAACTGAGGGAATCCTTGAGATCGGCCTTTAGGTGAGGTGATGTCAGACACAGGGATATGGATATGTTTCAAACTGGTAAGGCCTGGCCAAGATCGGTGCATGTGCATAGTTTTCCTCGCCCGATGCCTTGCAGCATCCGCGGGCCGACCACTGCGGCAGCAGCCTGAGGCGAAGGCCTCGAACCGATAGCCGCCCCTCGGGCCAGGGCGTGCTCGCGACGCTGGCGTGATCTTCGCTCAACGAGGGCCGCAGAGGTCTGCCCAGGACCCGCGAGGATTGAGGATCAAGCACCTGCCTCGACATCGAGATCACGCTATGCACGCGGAGAGCATTTCAAGCCTGCCAGAGACAGCGTAAGGGCGGGCATCGAAAAATCAACTCAGACGGAACTCTTAGGAACATTCGGCGCACAACTCCAATGAATACAGCCGGGCTGCTGGACGAAAAAACGATCAATAAAAAACGAAGCATTTGTTTCCAATTAGATCTGTAAAATCCAAAAAGGAACGGCCGAACCCATTTCTAGCAGCGTTCCGCCATGACTTACCTTCGCGAGTGGAACCCGAACCCCTCTGCCAAAAACCAAAGACCCCCCCCCGAGCTACAAACTGCGTGACCTGGCGGTGCTCGAGCGAGAAACTGGCCCTTAATAAGCTCGCCGTGAACCTTGTCAAACCCTGTGAACATCACAATTAAGCCCATTAAGAACGAGCGTGCGATGTCATGCCGTGTGAGAGCTATTTTGAAAGCGGCGCTAACAAACGAGCCCCTCTTGGAGCCCCGTTGTTCCTTCGACCAACCACCCTGATCGACAAAACGAACCCGCGAGTGCTAAACCTTCAGGAATACCGAAACGGCTCGCCACCAAAAAAGTAACGGAACGCATGCAAACCTAAAGAACCACCGAACCCCTTCCGACCTCGAACTGGGCCTTATGTACGCACGGTCCTGTCCACTCAGTAGAATTGTGCACGGTTCCCTCGCTGTCCGATTCAGATCTGCCGAGCTGCATTCGGTTCTCGTGCACCTACTGGCAAGCTGCCTAAAGCCCGAGGGAGCGTTAGTTTGTCACCGTGCATGCACGAGGTGGGCGTGCTAGGATGCCAAGAGCTGCCGAATAAGGATTCTGCGTTCTAATACGGGACCAACTCTCTACCAGCGGAGTGGGCAATGCACCCCTTGTCCCGAGGCCACGATCGCTGGTAACAAAACTACGGGTCCGCATCCCGAGCTTCCAAGACGTCCCATGCAAGCAACCAACGGCACCGAGATGGCCCAAGATGCCTCGAAAACTAGCCAAAATGGCCTCAAGGCGGCCAAATATGGCGCCAAGACGACCCAGGATGCGTCCACGACGGCCCAGAAAAGCTACAAAGGGACCTCCAACAAAGTCCGAAGAAACCAACATCATGGATCCCCTTGGGTTGAATGCTTCACATTCTCGTTTTTTCAGGCTTCCGTCAACTCAAGACGGCCCAAAACGCCTCCACGATGACCCCAGGACGGCCCAAGAGGCAACCAAGATGGCCCAAAGATAGCCCAAAGGACCCCATGAGGGCCCGTCTTGAGCCCTTCGACGGCTCAAGACAACGTCAAAACGGCCCCCTGACACCCACATACGGCAAAAAGCCCAAGGGCGGCCCAAGGCAGGCCCAACACGGCCTGAGAGAGCTCCAGAGCGGCCCAAGAGGGCCCCAAGGGACCCCCAAGTTTGCCTCACAGGAACCCCTGACAACCCAAAGACGGCCCGAACGAGTTCCATGAGAGCTTCTCAAACAGTGAAAACGAAATTTGCCACATGTGGCAACCTGACATTTTTCCTCCTCCTCCTCCTCCTCCTCCTCCTCATCATCGTCATCGTCATCGTCATCGTCATCATCATCATCACCACCACCACCATCATCATCATCATCATCATCATCATCATCATCATCATCATCATCATCATCATCATCATCATCATCGTCGTCATCATCATCATCATCACAATCATCAGCACCATCATTAACATGGTCATCGCCATCACCATCACCACCACCACCATCATCATCATCACCATCATCATCACGATCATCAATATCACCATCACCATCACCATCACCGCCACCACCACCATCAACATTACGAGTGGGCAAGCATGCTCGGAATGAGAGGTCGGGCGCTTCTGTAGATTAGCATGGGTCGTGTGTACGTTGCTGGCCCTATGGAGCTCACGGCGGATACTATAGCAGCAACAGCGAATGCCATCTTGATGGGCGCGTCGTCATCGCCCTCCCCTTCTGCATGTCAGCGAACTGCACGGTCTTCCGACTGGGCGACCGTCACCACAACGATCGCCCTTGGCATGTTGATCAGACCGTGCTCCTGGTTCGTTCGGAATGAGAGGCCGCCGGCATCGATTCAGCGCCCGTCTGCAATAAAACTCAGAGCGCGGACGCGCACGACGCAATGCTTCCCTGCGTTGACAATGCATTCCTTTTCATTCCAGCGCCGCTGCCACCCGCAACCCGTCTGTGCTCTGCATGTGTGCGGCCTCGTCCGCCCGCCCAGGCCACCGCTCGCGCCGCCTTTTCGCTTCGCCCGTCAGGGCAAGCACCCCTGCATATCAAGCGCCCACTTTGGGGCAAGTCGCATGCGACAACTTGGGAGACGGGAAACGAGAGCCGACGTCGCAGGCTGAGCCTCCGACGCCGGCTTGAGCCCCCCAGCCGCCATGAGCTGAGCTTGCACACTAATGAAGCTGACCGAGGAAAGTGGGACCGCATCGTTGAGCATCACAGATTGAACCCGCGACGCGGATGAATCCGCTCTCGTTCAGACAACCCATTCAAAGGTTGCGCCTGCTGAAGAGCAATCAAGTTTACCTGCGCCTGTTTTTGACTGAGAATGTCTTCAGCATATGTGCCCTTGTTTTCCTTCATTCTCCTCGCATGATCAGTGGCAGCGGAGGGTCGCCTGTTGCATTGTAGCGAAAGCCTCCTCTTTAACGTGCTGAACCATCGCAGCTGCCTGGGCCGCCCTCTCTTGCAGGACCCCGTTTCCAGTGACTTTTCAAAGTTCTTCGGTGCATCTTCGGCAGCCTGCAGTCGATAACGCATCTGCAGTTCTTTCTTCAGCCACTTCCCCTGCGATTTTCCTGTTCCGTTTCCTCTTATGTTTTTTTGGCGAACTCTTCCATTCTTTCTCACTGCGTGCAATTTCAACCGGGGACAGCCGAGCTGCCTCCGATGTTGCCCGTTGGCCCAATTGTGCCTATTGCGCGATCTGAAGCATTGGTTCCGTTTCACACTGCCTTTGCCGACGTTGCTCATCCTTCTGCCGTTGGAGTACTTGCATATGTGCAGCCATATGTCCGCGACGCTCCCCTTTCTTGGGCCGCGCTCTTCTCAACTTATTGTTTCTGCCAACCCATGAACACAAGATGCCGACAATTACGTTCGGCCATATTAACGCATTCCGAACAGAGCCAGCTGAGACTGCAATGTGGGCACACGTTTGAACAATACCCGCACACAAGAAAGCGACACGGACCATCACGTTACTTGGCTTTCCCGGGCATCGATTTTCCGCTGTGGGAGGGCAGTGTAACCCTTGGGTCCAGGACCTTGCCATGATCGAAAAAGGATCCGATGACAACCCGCGGGGAACCTGGCTGTTTCTAGACCTTCCACGGAACCTGGACATCAAAGGAGAGCGGAGGATTGGATGCGTGACGTTCAGGTGTGGCGGCACTGCCTCATCAAGTGATCCTTCGGCTTCTTGCACCACGGGACAAGCGTTGGCCTCTAACAGACTTGTGGTTAAACTGGCAATCTGCATCGATGATTCTTGTTCCATGCTGGCGTCGCCTGGTACTTTAAGACGTTTCGCCGCAAGGGTCTCTCCAGTATTGTGCTTCATGTTGTCCAGGACAGCCCGATCGGATTTCTTCCCTTGGCCGACGAACGTTCGGGCCTGACATCGTCGTCGTTAATAATAGCTGAAACGTCACGGTCCAAATTATCGTGTCGGTCCATTGGTTGAGCCAATGCCGAAACGCGTTCTTGTTCTGAAATAAACGGCCCACTAATGAGTGTTATTACGGGGGCGTTTGGGGGGAATTGGCTTACCAAGTCGGATACAACATGACTTGTGAAAATCTCAGCCGTTGCAGACTGTACAAGTGCACTGGGATCTCCATACACGTCCATGCTTGGATGCAACAATTACGCTGCTCTGGACGGGTAATATCGACATGACTGTTACAATCCGGTAGGCTGTGGTATAAAAGATGTGTGAGCATGGGAGACGAGACGACGACGACGACACGAAACGCGCCCCGTTCCACCAATACTAGGCCGGCCCGGGGTGCCGGCCGAGTACTTCGCTGCTGATACAAGGCTGCGGTTCAATACTGTACGGCAGCGACAAGACGACGGCGGCGGCGCAGAGACAGCAGGGGAAAAAGTTAAACGACTTGCACACATACGTTCACAAGCACACATGCTTATAAAGAGAGAGAGAGAGAGAAACAAAGACAAAAAAAGGCAGATATTGAAAGAGACAGAGAGAGAGAGAACAAAAAAAGAAAGAGAGCGAAGGAGAGCAAGACAGGGAGACAGGGAGAGAATGAGGAGTGGGACAAATAGGGAGAGGGAGAGGGAGAGATGAGGTATGACAACAATACATAGAAGTAGAGAAGGCGCGCTTGAAGCGGAGGATAATGCCATCGATGTAGATCTCTTTCATGCTCTGGGGCGGGAAATCGTCTCCCCCTTCCTTCCCCCCTCCCAAATCATTTCGGAGAGAGCCTGAGGACAAAGGAGCGATGGAATCTTGTGGCGCCACTCGGCGCTCACCGCGCCACTTATTCTCCTTTTTACCTTGCTGATTGTGAGTTCGGGGTGATCTCCACAGAAGCCGAGGAAGGTTCGCTCCGCATCATCTCTTAGTGTGAGGTGGCCTGAGTGAGAGTGTAGACATGAGTGAGGGAGGGGGCTGGTAAGTGAGGAGGCGGAGGCGTGACGCATAACAATAACCCCTAAATTCAAAAGGTTGGACTTTGGGGGAAAGTCAATTTATCTGAGAGGCACTACAATGCTGGACGCGAACGGGCATGCCCCGTTGGCAGTTTCCCCAAAGGATACCCAACCGCCATGTCTGCCACATCGCGATGATCATTGAGCTTTCTGTGCTCTGACGTGAGTCTCAATTTGACGGGATGAAATTCGTATCAGTGGGTTGAATCTGTGTATTTGAAACCATCAGAATCTGAGTAAAGCTTAGTATAAGCAAGTCTGAGTATGATTGAGTCTAAGTGCGAGTGAGCCTGAGTCTCAGCGAATCTAAGCGTGAGAGAAGAGAGCGAAAGGTGAGGGAGGCGGCGGCGTAACCCCAATAACAAGAGCCCATACTGGATATGGAAACACATGCGTGATTGCTCAGAATAACTACGCAAGCAGCTGTGGAGACTCCGCAGATACGCCTGGAACCTTGAACAACCGACACGAAATTAAGCGGCACGCTTGCGGCAGCACGCACAAGACCCCGAAAAGCACTGGCGGAACCGAACGAAGTTCCCATCCTCCCCGCCCCCGGTCCTCCTCTCAAGCCTTCCGTAACGCTTAACCCTTATCCCCTCGGCATGCTTGAATCTCCCAGGCGCCCGACTCATCCGCTCCGCACGCCCATTGCCCATCCACTCTTTCTCATCCTCCCCATGGCTCCCCCTCCGCCCTTCCTTCTCCCACACCCTCACTACCATCCACCGATTCCTCCCTGTATCCGCATCCTCTCCATCCTCCCTCGGCCCCCTTCCTCTCCGTGGTGGCACATATACGCTGCCATCTTGTCCCATCCGCTCCTCAGCCACCACGGCTGGCCAATCAGTGCATGTGCTTCACTGTCGCGACGCTCTCGTGGACTCCTATCTGTGGGAGGAGCCCTCTGCTTGCCCCGAGATCCGACGTCGGGACAAAAAAACGAGACGACGCAGAGGACACGGCGAAACCCATCTTCACGGCGAAATCTTCGACCTGGATCGATCCGTGGGGGTCCTGGAGCCCGAGAAAAAACAAATGTGCCAGGCTGTGATTTTGTCACGACCCCAGTATCTATCCAGGACGAGAGCAATGTCATCATGCGTTTGGCACCAGATACGTCCCAAATATTCTCGAGTTTCTAGTGGCCCACTCGTGCTCGCCGTTTCGTAATGTTTCGTACCGAGCCGAGCAGGACAACAAGGAAACCTAAAAGTGGGAGAACGCTCGTAATTCTATTTGCTCCTCTCTGTTCTGGCTGCCGTCGCCCAACCGTCTGCGTCGTCGACGTGGCCGCCGCCTGAACGTCTGACCGGCGGATGCCCCGACCCAGGACTTTGAGGCGGACCTGGCAGTGGGTCGACGAGGGCCCCTCCACGAGGCCAAAAGACGTCAAGAACACAATTCCTCCTCCTCCTCCTCCTCCTCCTCCTCCTCCTCCCTTAAAGGAAACACGGGGGGGGACAGGCTCAGGGGGGGAAACACCGACCTGGAATCGAAGATAATTCGCCGATAGATCGGCTGTAGGCCCCGATGCTAAATCCGCGCGTTCCTGGGCGGGGTGGGCTACCAGTCCACCATCAACGTTCAATAGGCGATTTGGGGCCGATGCGTCCCCCCCTGAGCCTACCCCCATTAACGTTGCCCTTCCTTCCTCGTCGTCGTTGTCGTCAGTGTCCTCGTCGCTGCAAACGTTGCCGCCGCTGGCATCGTCGTCATTGTCGTCGTCCTCCTCGTCGCCGTCCGCGCCGGGCCGCGGCGGCGGCTGGGAGGCCGTCAGCGGCCAAGGGATGTTCGGGATGATCTCGCCGTCCGGTTTGTCGGACAATGTTGGCTGCATGTAGAACGCACGGATGGTGTCCCCAGGCTGCGGGGCGGCTTCTTCCTCGTCGTCGCATCGTCCTCCTCGAGCCCCCGCTGCCCTTTGCTCTCTTCCTCTGGGCCCCCCCCTCCGCTCCCCCCGCTTCTCCAGCCTCTCTCTTGCCCGTTCTCCTCCTCCTCCTCCTCCTCCTCCTCCTCCTCCTCCTCCTTATCATCATCATCATCATCATCATCCTCATCATCATCATCATCATCATCATCATCAGCATCATCATCATCATCAGCATCATCATCATCCGCATCATCATCCGCATCATCATCATCATCATCATCATGATCAGCATCTGCCTTCGGGGCGTGTGAGACACCTGCCTGCTCTGAGAAGGCCACCGAGACCCGAGGGAGCACGAGCAGCGGCAGCCAAACCATTTTACTTCACGGGCAGCGCAGACAGTTGTACTGATCTCAAGCGCTGTGCACCAGCACGTTTTTCAGGGTGCTGCTCAACAACATCACAGAATTCTGAAGCGCAGCTCCGCTCCGCAAGGTAAAGAAATAAAAATGTGACAAGGGAGGTGGGCGGGAGCAACACACGCTGCAGAGACACCGGCTGACGCAAGACGTGCGCGCACTAGTAGCATCTGCGTTCGGGGCGTGTGAGACACCTGCCTGCTTTGAGAGGGCCACCGAGACCCGAGGGAGCACGAGCAGCGGCAGCCAGACCATTTTACTTCACGGGCAGCGCAGACAGTTGTACTGACCTCAAGCGCTGTGCACCAGCACCTTTTTCAGGGTGCTGCTCAACAACATCACAGAATTCTGAAACGCAGCTCCGCTCCACACGTGCAAACTTTTCTGTCATGGAGGAGAAGGGGTGGTGGTGGGACTTCTCCCTGGATACACACTCACTTCAAAGCTGCAGAGAAAGAGGTGGCCTTCAGGCTCTTACAACCATGAGCGAAAGCTTTTGCAAGGGCACGAGAAAAGCACTTTGGACATTCCTCGGCCACTCGGGTTTTAAAGATTCCATTGCTGTTCTTGCCCGTTGAAGAAACATGTGGTTTACTAGTTCTGGAACACCTTCCCCTGCAGAGTTTACACCTACGGCCCAAGGATTCAACAGGCAAATAGCTACACACTAGCCTAGTGGGCTTCATCCAAGGGACTCCCCATTGACAGAAATCTGTTCGAATTTCCCGTGTAGTGCGACGTCGTCGTAAATGCAGCATCTGAGGCGCCTCCCAAATAAAGGATAAGTAGGGGTTCTCGATACAGAACGGGACCATGTGCAGAGACGCCACTGACGCGATGCTCACAGCGTTTTTCATGGTAGTGTTTCCCATATCTATCTTCCAGCGTCCCCCCTCGTTTCGCAGGACTGGCAGCCCGAGAATGCGTTCACTGCTTCTTAGGGGCTGAGGGCCGTTGGGCCCGGTACGAGCGCGAGACCATGAGATACACGGCGTGCCGAAATGAATGCCTATGACGAAGCCTGACATGATCCAGCCTCTAATAGCTCTCACCAAGGATTTCTTACACATATCATGCCTCATGCCGAAACGAGTGTCGATAGCGATCGCCAGGAAGCCGAGCCGAGCCATCTCCCGGGATACGCGAGCCGTTCCAGCAAAGATCTCGAGAAAGAAAGGCACAATCAGCGTGCGCGTAGGCCCGCTGGAACCTGCAGCGGCGCGCCCGATCTCTGCAGGGCCCTCGGCACAACCTCCAAACAAATGGCGGCGAATTCTCTCATCTGAGCTGAACACTGATTTAGGAGCTCGTTGATCCGCCCTCCTTCTTGATATCTCCTCACACTGCTGTCTGATGACCGCCTGCCGCAATGCTCGATCTCCGCGATCGTCTTGCGATCCGCCAGGACGTCGGCACTTGGCCCTGATTGACGGAGACGATACAACACGATCTCGTTGATCGCCTTCCCGAGGCCCAACTCGCGGATGATCTGCGCCACGATCTCGCCGAGGGCAGACCATCCGATCCCTGCCAGGCACTCGTTCGCTGGGCGGATCCGTCGAAGCTGCCGGTTCATCCCCCACGTGGTGCGGAGAAACTCGCCGGGGCGGACGTAACAGAGGTGTGCCGCCAAGACTGCCGCGCCTTGCTGCAACCTCCCCTGCGCGATCAACTGGTTCGCCACCACAAAGATCAGGATCTCGAAAACTGGCCATCTCGACTTGCCTGGAGCAAGTCGGTGCAACGCCGCGGAACATGCCCGTGCCCGCAGGGGGCTGCACACCTGCTCGCCCACGGGGGCGAAGGCCCAGGACAGCGCGGCCAGCACCCGCCCGCCCTCGCTCTCCTCTGTGCCCTCGAAGAGTTCCTCGTAGAGGTGCTCCGACTCCGCCGCGTTCAGGCCCACCACGCTCATCTGGCCGAAGAAGCTGATGATGCGACTCTGCGCCCGGTCCAGCTCCGCGCCCGTCACGTTCTGCGCGATCACCATCTCCGAGCGCCGCGCCAGCCCCGCAACCCGACGGAGGTGAGATCGCCTCGCCGGCGCTCGCACCACGACCGTCTCCAGCACCGTCCGACCTGGCAAGGCTCGCACCGCGCCGTGAGCATCCTGCCGTCGCCGAACTCGCCGACATCCATGCTCTGGTGCTGTGGTCGGGGCCAGGCGCCGCCGTGGCAGGCGAGGATCCTCGGCTGGCGCCGCGGCCGGCGCGACCAAGGCCAGCCCTCCCGCTGAGGGGGGGGGGCGGGTCACGCCCGGCTGCAGCACTGGCGAGGCTGGCGCCTGGCGGGTCAGGAAGCGCCCGGCGACGCCACTCCGAGAGAGCACTCTCTCCCCGCGCGCTGCCCCAGCCACGGCGGAACTTGCCCTCAGCGTTCGTTGCACCAGCATGCCGCAGCCCGCGGCGGGACGGCTCGTCAGCCACGTTCCTCTCGCTGGGAACCCATCGCAGACAGAGCTGGATGTCCCACAACAGGAGGAGGGAGGCCAGCTGGCGGGCGACGCGGCACTGACCTGGCGCACTCGACCTTCCCTTTTGAGCCGAGAGCAGTGCACCCATGGAGTCCGTGAGAATGAGGACCCGCTTCTGGATGTACTCGCGCGTCTTTGCGACCCTCGGGAGGACTCCCACCAGGGCCCGACCTTCGAGACAGGTGATGTGCTCACTACGCTACCAACCTTACTACTGACCGTGTGCCACTTAGCATGCAACAAGCTAGTGTGAAGCCCTGGAACAGGAGGCACTCTTCGAAGGGAACCTTCAGGTGCCCCGGCATCATCATCACCCCCTTCTTCCAGCACTGCCCGTGGATTAGCGCGACCTCCACCCAAGAAGCGCCAACGATCTGAATACCTGCTGGCCTCATCCAGCACCTCAGTAAGCGGCCGCGCCGCGCATATCCCAAGACCCCACGGCGACGCATCACACGTATAGGCCCTCGGCCCCCACGGCTTGGTAAGGTCGCACTCGAGCAGCGGAAGCAACGGATGAGCCCAGCGGAGTTCTCTCAGTACCGCGGGCCACAGCTTCGAGGGGCTATCGGGGTTCTTCTCTATGAATACATACACGGCACGTAAGCATGACAGCAACTCCCGACGAAGCATTGCCTGATGAGTGATATGCCCCAAGAGTTTCCGAAGCGTCCTGCCAGAACATCGACGGCGCCTCAAGAGGAACTCCAAAGCCATCCACACCCTCCATCTCCTTTCATGTCGTGGTAAAATTCGACCATTTCCCGAGACGCTGAGCCCCAGTAGATCTCCCCCGACTCCGACTACATCGACCTCGTGAGCCTCCAGACCGGCACTCCGAACAGCCTCCAGGGATCGCTGAGTGAGATCACGACAAACATCGGGGGAGCTCGAGAAGACGCCCACGTTGTCCACATAGACCAACACACACCCATTTTTCAGATCACCAACTGGCCGATGATCCTGTAGAAGATGCGAGCTTGCAAACGCCTGGCTCAAAATCCTCTCGTAAATTGTCTGGCACCAGTACAGCGCGTGGACCCAACCCATCGGCATGACAGTAAGTCGAGGTCGCACAATCCCTCCAGTGCTCGGAATGTCGGACAGCAGCCGCTTCATCCACTTAGCCTTGATGGGGGGCAGATGGAAAAATCTCCGCAACTCGGGGGGTGTTCCAAACTGAAAGAAAGCATCCTTTAAATCGTACTGACCTACATGCAGCTGCTCTCCGGTCTCGAGCCTTAATCTGGATAAAGCGCCCGACGTGGGCAGCTCGACATGGTCACTACTCGTGAAAAAGCAATTGGACTGCCGGCAATCGGCAATCAGGCGCTGGGCACCGCTCTTCTTGCGCACAGTAAAAAGTCCTACACAAGCATCACCTTCCTCGCACACAAACTCAACCATGTTCCTGACATGCAGCATCTGAAGCACGCGTGCATATCGGCGCGCAGACCTGCGAAGACCAGGGTCATGATAAATCCTCATCTTGCTCGCTTCGAAACTGTGCATGCCTACCGAGTTTGGCAGCACATGCTCGCACATCCACGCCTGGACTTCCTCACGACCTGTGGGGCCCAAAAGCTGACATATATCAGTTGGGGCCGTCCCTGCCGGCCTAAGCGACAGCAGAGACTCGTCCAGGGGAACTGCTGGCGAACTTTCACCAGAATAGTCACACCCACCGCTGATGCTCGAAAAAGCCTCGGCCGGCTGAGCATCGGCGGGGGGGATGCCCATCCTACTGCAACGTTCCCGGAGATGCCCCATGCTGCCCCCGCCCAGAGACGAAGCAGCACCCGCAGGACAGCACGGGGCACCACCGAGGTACATGTCTGTAAGGACGGAGGCGGCGTCGTGACTAAGCCGATTCAACCATTGCTCGGACGAGATTGGAAGACTGCTCAGCCCAGGCGGCCGCCCAGTCGCGCAGATCGAGGAATCTGACCTCGATGCTTTTACCCGATGCTTTAAAAGTGTCCGAGGCTCCGCCGACGAAGACAGCCGACTCGGCTTTGCACCCGAATTCCTCGCTCTCATGAGCGATGGATGGCCTGCATGCAGTGCTGGCCGCCGGATGAGGCCGTCTCCGACGGCCCCGC